CGGTCTAAGATACAACTGGAAAAATTTCGAAGTTCCATCTATTAAATAGCTTGCTAAGTCAAACTTTCACTGTTCGCGTATCTATTCACTGCATAAAATAACTTGAAATTTTTCTAACTTTCCCAGCTGTTATAGCTTGCATATAAAAACAATCTATGAGGCATCAGATTCGCTCCATAAAAAAAAGTTGAAGTATTTCGAAGTTTCGTAGCTTGATTGGCTTAGAAAAACAACTTTTCACTAAACGATTCGGTCTATGAAATTTATAATTTTTCAAACCGATTAATGATCTGGTTTAATCTGAATTTCTTGTGTTTGCTTGATTTGCTCGAATTGTGGTATTTATATTAATTTTGAAGCTTTTCAAAAAATTAGATTAAAAATTTTTTTAAAACTTCAAACTCTCCACTCTATGGTGGGTGCTTTCAAGTTCTACTCAAGGGTTGCAAATCTGGGGTCCAAATAATACTGCTACTTTTTTGGTTTCTGACATATGGCGTTTTTTAAATTATGAAAAACTTGAAATTCTCAACCCTAAATAATTTAGGCATAGAACTATGCCAAATAATTGAATCACTGAGTGTTATGGTAGAGCGCTATCAGAGTACTTGCAGGAGTTTCGAATTTTGTCTCCAAATAGGACTGCTCAATTGTCTCCGAGATATGATAGGACTGCTCAAATCTGTCTGAGATTTGGTTATACTCAATTATTGCACAGCTGGCCTCTTGTTACAAAAATGCTCAAAAACCTTTAGCTTGAATAAATTAATTGAGCATAAAGAGCATTGCTCTGGCTTCTTTAGTTGAAATTGAAAAATAAGACTAGATTTGGTCACTTCCTCAAAACACCCAAATTAACAAAAGTTTTTTTTTCAATTTCTTCGAATTTTCTGCGGAATTAAAATTGAAATACAATTTTTATGTCAGAGTCAATTTTTGTTTCTAACTGAACATGACCTACATATGAGTACTGTTTGTGTTGATTTCAGCGTTTCATTACTGCTATTTTCCGAGATATTGATTTCAGAATTCAGTTAAAAAATCAGGTTTTGGCTTTGCTCAAAATTTCAAAATAATTGAAGCACCGCATGTTAGAAACCAGATAAGTCTTCCAGAGCCGTGAAAACGAAAAAAGGATGGGAAGATTGTCTGCAATTTTTCTTAAATACTGATTTTTTATATTTTTTGGTCCTCTCAGTTGAAAATTTATCGTAAGCACCGTCATTTAAACAAAAAAAAAAGTCAAGGGAAATCATATTTCTTAAGTTTTTTTCTGAGGCAATTTGCTAGATGACGAGCTGCTCATTCGGGCTATTTGTGTGGTTTGTGTACTTAACAATTTTGCAAATTGGCTCAAAAGTTTCAAAAATCAAAATGCTAATCCCACTAAATTGAGTACGCTGAACACACTGAAGGATTGAAATTCACGTTTTCGACTTTTTGTTCATAATGTTTTGGTTTTCCCAAAAATCAATTTTTTTGTTTTCTAAAGTAATCTGAATTATTTCGAACCCAATAAGGCTATTGCCGTAAAAAAACTCAAAAGTGATCAGACTAGGAAGCCGCTAATTTTTATGCTAATGTTTTTTGTTTTAAAAACTTTTTAAATATTATTAGTTTTTATTTCTTTTCAGATTTTATTTTTTGTCACGAAAATTTCAATTTCTGCAATTATAACGTCACCTATTTATAAAACAGTTGTCCGAGACTGTTTTTGTGTTAATTTTTTTCGTTTAAAAAGTTATTTAGAAAACGGCTATTTCTGAATAATAAAATGACTTTTTTATAAACTTTTTGTAAACAATTATCAGGTTTGCAGGTGAACCTGCATTAGTGTAACCTGTATTTGGGCAGGATGCTCACTCGGTCCCTCAGTGACCGTCGGAGAGAGCAGCCGTAATTATAGTTTTTATGCTTCAATCTCAAATCACAGTTCAGTTATTGTCGGAGAAAATTCAAATTCGTTAACGTGTTCAGTTTTGAAACAATAGTATGTCTGCTATTAAAATGAACAGTTGTCTTTCACTGACATCCGAAAAAGTTTAATTATGTTCCAGGTAATAGCAAAAACCTGCTTTGTTTATCGTTCAAGAACTAGCGTTTGTTTTGTTTTTGTTCTAATGAATGCGTGGTAAATTTTGAATCTTTTTGCAGCAAAAATTATGTCCTAGAGTATTAGTATTCTTATTCTCTCGGTTTTTGTGAAATTAATTCGAGTGTTAGCATCCTAATTCTTGTTGGATTTGAACAGTTTCTCCGATACTTGATTCAAGGCGATATTAATTTGAATTGTTCGAAATCTGGCTAGTCTTTTTCAATCTTGCTTCGTCTGTCTTTGTCTACCAAGGCATGGGATTTAAGAGCGTGGTTGTTCGGTTCTAATTTTTATTCAAATTTTTAATTCAATCATTTATTATGATTTTTAAAGGATATTTTAAAAAATAAAATTGAATTCATAACTTTCTTGAGTTTTTATAGATTTTCTGCAAATTCTTTTCCTTGTAATAACTCTATGAATGTTTTTGATTCAATTTTTTTTTCTAAATTTGTTTCTGCATTTTTTCTAAGCTATACGGAAGTAATAAAAGCAGGTTTTGCTCAAATACTGCTGATGGGGTAGCAGTTAATTGGTTTGAAATTTTTTTTGTAGAGCTTAGTATATTTGAGATTTTTACCACGATTGTTGCATGATATTTTTTATTTTTGTCCCATTTTATCAGCGAGAATTTTTTTTGAATATTTGATTTTTGGTAAATGATTTTTCATAATAGTTCAGCAAAGTTTTCATTTGTCTCACATAAAAAGAAATGCATGGATTTTCTATTAATGAATCAAAATTTTGAGTTTTTGATTTTCAACGTTTCCAATTTATCAAACTGCATGTATCTGAAACCTTTTTTTTCTACTTTTTTCGGGTTAACAACTCGTTTAACAGAATCACTTGTACCTTGTTTCATAGTGAATTCAAATTTTAATGCGTCTCCAGCACTTAATCTGCAGGTGAAGAGTACGCCTGAGACTGCAAAATTTGTGGGTTCGAATCTGACCAGGAACTTTTTTTTTAAAACTGGACTGGAAAACATGTTCTCCAAACATGTCGGCCTATTGTTTGTCTGCTTTTGTTTTGTTGACTTAGTGTCCACAGCTTAGAATTGATTTATATACGTAAATATTAATGTAGTTATTTGTAAAGTTTTGAATTACTCCTGCAATTTGTAATTTAACTAGTCTTCACTTGGTATATTTTGCTGTTTTTGTTTTTTTTCGCTTAAACATTTAATCGACTAAAAAGATTTCGGCCTATATTTTATCGGCTCATGGACCTAATATGGAGTAGTTTCGAGGGAAGCATAAGTTTAAAACTTTTTTCAAGATCGAACAAAATGCTAAAATTTTTAGTAAACGTTTTTCATGACAACAATTATATTTTTGTTTCTACGAGAAATTATTCAACTTTTAGCGGTGCAGTTGCCGCTTGTTATTTTTTTTATTTACTTTTTTTGCTCGCCGTCGTTTGTGTTTCTGGACTTGTTTTCCACAAATATAACATGATTGCAGACAACATTTTGAATTTTGTAAGTTGTGGTTTTTTGAAGGTTTTTCAATTGTTTTGGATTTAGTGTGTGCTAGTTATAAATTCAAAATCAATCATGCATCCGTTGCATCTGGCTTTTAGGTAACACTCATGCTTGAGACAGCGAAGGCTTGCGGTTCAAATCCGGCCGGGGCCTGCAAACTTATAGTTTTGTATATTTTCGGACTATCGTCCGTCTGCTTATTTTTGACGGCTTTGTTACCAAACCCGATTTTCTGAAAATTCATCTTTCTTCTAAGTTGCTGTAACGCATGTGCTTGACTTCAAACCCCGGTATCTCGATTCCAGTCGGGACTTGTTTGTTTTGCAAACTGAAAATTTTCGGCTAATATAGATTTTGGTCTGTCTGCTTATTTTTGCCTGCTTAGTTCCCCCAGAAATTTTTTTTGAAAGTTCGACTTCTTTCTAGCATTCCGAAAGCTCCTTGTAAATTTTTTAAGGGTGCAGGTATTTTTGTTCCGGATCTTTTGGGCTTTTTTTGCGATTTTTATAAATTTTTATGACAAAAACGATTTTTGAAGGTTTGTTTTGATTTTTCTTTTGATTTTAATCACGGTCATTCGTTTTGTATCGCAAGTGGTGCGAAGCTGAGTTTTGCTTCTGTGTTTGATAACTCATTTGTTGTGTTTTTGATTTGTTATGTGATAACTATTCAAGAGTGTTTTTTTTAGCTGATGGAAAAAATGATGAGTCTTACACTAATGAAAAATCCCAAATAGAGAAACGAAGCAGATACACTGCGGCTTATGGACACCCGGCCACATTTTACGACAACTTCAGGCATTATTCGACCTATGAAGAGTTTCCTTCTGATGAAAAACAACTGTTTAATGAGAACGCGTGTCGCAGTTCTTCAGTTCAAGGCCCTGATGAGAATAGATCTACCCATCTTCCACGGTTGAATAAAGATACTGATAGTCAAGTTCTTGTCTATAGACAAGTGAGGTTCAAACAAACAATTGACAAGTTGGAGTCATTTTACAGCGATCCGCCTCCAGAAATTGACCCATTCGCTCATTTGTGCCTGCCTCCCAGGAGAAATAATTTAATGGTTACCAATTGAATTTGATGCATTTTAGAGACGTCTTCTCATATAGTTCGAAGCAAATTAATCTATCATTCATTTTCGTCGACTGTAACTTATATTGTCCAGAAGAAATTTCCCATTATGTAATTTAAAATTTTCATCTTGCAATTTTTGTGACGAGAACTTCTCAACTTCTCAGTATAAGAGATTACTTAGAAAGTTTGAAGGCCATTTAAATTGGTTATCACCTCTCCAGTTTACTACATCAGGCCATGCCACTAAGCATACCAGTCGCTTAATCGATAAGTGTCGGTTATTGAATTCAGCTCAGGTTAGGTTTGGTGATTAATCAGTCGGTTTCCTTATTCGGTTCGGTTCGGTTAACCGTCGATACATACTAACCGGGTGAAACAAGGAACAATTTCAATGGTCTTCGAAGTTTCTGGAGTGCTAGCCTCGGTAGCACATACTAAAATTGGAACGATATATAGATCAAATTATGCCTGCGTATTATACTGTTTTGTTAAGTTGAAAGTAATAAGCATGCGTTGTACTTAATCTCATCGTTGTTCTTTTAAATATTTTCTTATTCATAGGCGGTTGTTTTGTTCTTAATCAATCAGCAATCACCTGTTTCGACTTAATTCTCAGTGAACAGTTTCCGATCTCAATGGAGCATTCTGACCGGCAAGCATCATCTACGTCTAATGGTATGCTCATAATACAGCAAAACTTTCTGACGGACATAAACAATTAATCTAGCAAATTTCACGCATTGGTCAACTTCAGTTAATAATATGAACATATAACACTGGCAGGCGAAAACTGGGACGCATTTTCAAATGTAATTTCAATAAACAAGCAATCAATATAACTTTTTAAAATCCATTTTGCAGAAAGATTAAGGGTATTTATTTAACTTAATTTAACTTAAACTTTATATAACTTAAACTTTATATAACTAACTTTAGAATTTATTTCGGGTCTCGTCCGCAGTTATTGTGGATCTCGACAAAAGTGAATGTGAATTTAAGATGAAGTTATTGTTCCGACCGCAAAGTAATGGGAAGGATTTTCGTATTCGAGCATTTTAGTTTTAGAAACGTTCTCTACACAAAAGTAATGATACATTTTTTAGGGTTATTTAAAGATACAATTTTTGGGTTATTTTTTGCTTTGCTCTTTTTTTAATTTGAAAAGTTGAGCAAACTGGCATTGTTTGTATTTCGAGACGGTAAAAATTGTTGTTTTAAATGCTTGACAGTCGGAACTTATCGTTGTTTTCTTTAGACCAAAAACTGACAAACGGAGTCGCAAAGCTTAGCTTGACTGGCAGTTCAAAAAGCCATCAAAAGGGCAGTAGCCATCACCCGCCAACTAGAGTTCAGAGATCCCTGGAATTGGATCCAGAAACGGGGGATTTCGTGTTACCTCACGGAGAAAGATATGGCAATCTGGAAAAACTAACTGACACTTACCGTGATATTCTTACAGGTATGTGCAAATGTAAAAATTCTACCATCTGTTAATTGATGTCCGGCAATTTTGACGAAGCCACAGAAAAAATTTTCATGCCAAGACTTAATACTTCTATCAGTTGGGTTTATCTTCGTTATTTTCTCATGCGGAAAGAAAAATCTAAACAGATATGAAACGACGACTGAAATTGTTAAAAACTAATGAAAGACCAATGTGACATGATCAGATTTTGTCAAGGTATCTATGAGCATTAAGCTTTCAGTTCAAAAAATATTTGGTGGATGGTAGAGTTGGCTGAAAAATTAGCAAAAATTTATTTGCATTGCAAAGTTTTTTTTCTCCGTGAAATTAAATGACTTGGCTTGACGTAACCGTTGAAATTTGTGGTCGATGGTTTAATTTGAATTTACGTATCCAAATAAAAGGAAATAAATTATATGAAAGATATCGAAACTGCTCTGCAAACATGCATATATAATCAAAACGCTGAGCAGATCTAAAACTTTAAATTTTGCGGTTTTTTGGATTTTTATGGTCGTGATGATTTTTTTTCTTTTTTAATGAAAAGTTTTCTGATCCAGTATTCTCAAATTGACTTATTTTTATCAAAGAAGTTCAATCTTAAATGGTTCTAGAAACTCCTGTTTTAAGGCCATCTGTTTTTCTGTTCGAAATTCGAAAATTCAGATTGTTTAAAAAAGTTTTTTTCCTGTTTAATTGCGTAAATTGACTCCTTTTCAACTGCCTGTCTCTTCAGCGCTAGTATCTTCTTACTTCACCGGACGCTCGACGACTTTCGAAAATTGCGGTCGGTTTTTTTATCTATTTTTTTCTGGGATTATTTTAATTTCCCAAAAATTACCCAGTCAAATCTGATATTACCGGTTTTTTTGGGATCTCCTCTGCATGAGCTGCTATGCCTTAATTTTTGTAGAAAAAGAGTCATGGCTATTGAAAATTGTCCACATTTTGAAGTTTTGGCCGTTTTTTGGTATTAAGATATTAAGAGTTTAATCGAGAGAACTGTTTTGTGAATCATTGTTGCACAACTGCTATCATTCCAAATTTCTGATGAGAAAAAGTTATCGCCTTAGAAAATGTACATTTTTTGAAATTTAGACATTTTTTTACAGATTTCTGGCGAAAGTTACCATGCCAAATTTGTGACGAAGAGTTCAATCGATAGAACATGTGATGATCATTTTCTCTGCATAGCGGTTACGTCCATTTTTTATAGACCAGCATTGTTAAATTAAAAAAAGGTTCATATTTTGAAATGTTGACCTATTTTTGGAAATATTAGCAATCTATTTGGTAGGATTGGGCGAGAACCCAGATCGTGAGGGGCTGCTGGACACTCCGAAGAGGGCGGCAAAAGCATTGCTATACTTCACGAAGGGATACGAGGAGGATGCAGCTGACATCATGCGAAGTGCTCTCTTCAACGAGGACCACGACGACATGGTCATTGTCAAGGACATCAACATATTCTCCCTCTGTGAACATCACCTCGTCCCCTTCTTCGGAACATGCTCTATAGGTAAGTCATCTACAACAAAATCAAATGTAAGTGCTCCAAAACCCTTACATTTGACCTCAACTTTGTGGTGTATAAAACGTGGATAAAGTACTGTTAAATTTAACTTGTTAACCGATGTTTACTGAGGTTTATCGTAGCTGATAGCTTGTTACTGGTTTGCATACGAGAGTACATAACACTTAAGAAATCATTGATACAATTCTAGCTTCACCGATGGCCTTGACCACGCTTACATAATAATAATCTAATTATATAACATTAATAAATACGCTTACTGCAGTTGCAGTGACCGTTTATGTGTCACTCAAGGTTAGCTACTGCTAACGCAGTGCCACAAACTTAATGGATTTGAAAATTTCTTTCAAAACTGGCGGTTGTATCTCATACCACCCTAAAAGTTCTACGTGCATAAAATCATTACATTAGGTTCGCAGGCAGGGGTTAAAATGGGGATGTGTCAATTTGAAATAACACGTACATAAATTTGAATGGATCCTTTTGGTTTTCTTTAAAAGTTATTCTCCAATTTGCTCTCATAATTTTTGCTTGTTCGAACTTGCTCATATTTTTCATTATATCCCAATGCGATATCAGACATATATACAATTTTTCATGTGAAGGCATTACTTCAGACAGTCAAATTTTACCGCTTCTTATTGACAAACTGTTAAGTTACAATTCATTAGTTACTGCATTTTCGTAAGTTTTGCTTGTTCGAACTTGCTCATATTATTCTTTATATCTTAATTCGATACCAACCATATATACAATTTTTCATGTGAGGGCATTAGTTTAGATAATCAAATTTTAGCTCTTCTTTTTGATAAAAAAAACTGTCAAGTTCCAATTCATTAGTTGCTGCATGTTCGATGTCATCGAAATAATCAAATATCGATTGGTTTCTTGAGGGGGATTCATTATTAAACAAGACTGCTCGTACCAAGGCGAAGCCTTGAGTGTTCCGACTATCTTTTTAGGTTTATGGAGCAGTAATAACATAAAAAAATTAAATGTAAAAAATAAAAAAAAATTCTTCTAAAAATGGAAGTTTTTATGAAAATTATTCTCTCACACTCCATATAAAGTACAAAAAGATAGATTTGGCTCCTTGTAGCAAATCAATTATGGCAAATAAGCTTCTGTCAACCACCAACTTGGAACGATTTCTGATACGGATTAAATCTCCGCTTACGCGTTAATAGCGCGAAATATATCGCGCGTTTATTGTCCCAAATTGGCCAACATGGCAATCTTTAAACCCCAATAAGTTTACGAAAAATGATCACAGGTAAAATGTCTTATCAAATTTAAGCTCAGGACAACAATACCTTTTGTATGATAAAAAAAAGTTAGTCAGAAATGGCTAGTTAAAAAGTCGAAATTTGTCTGAAGAAAACCCCACCCGAGCACGAAACCCCGCCCCGTATCGAAAGTCGGACAATAAAGATGGGTAATTTTTATCTTAAGTTATACGTTTAATTCAACAGCATAATGAACTGTAAATCGATTCAAAACAGTCCCAAGTGGAAAATGTTCCAACTTTCGAGGAAAGGACAGAATATTTATTCTTGGGATGATTTGTTTAATTAGTTAAACATCGACTTTTTAACTGACAATTTACCTTCTGAAAGACTTTTTGTCTGGAGCTCAAATGTAAAAAAAAATTACCTTATCGTTTTTCGTTAAGCTTTAAAACGGGAATCGACTCAGTGGTCTTTGATTGGTTAAAAAATTAATTTGAAGTGTTTTTTTTATCGGACTTCTTGTTCGTTTTCATTTTTTTGACTGTTTTGTATTGGTCTGTTTTGTATGGGACTGCTTTGTGTATGTATTTCTTACCTGCATTTTATAAGCAAAAGATCATACTTTCACAAAACAAAAGACCATGTTTTCACTTGCAATTAGCAAGTGGAATCAAATCGGGCGCCAGATTTTAAAAAAAATAATGAACTAAAACACATGTTACTGGCGCTGATCACTTCTTTCTGAAGATCATTTTTTCTGTCATTATCTTGAACGTTTTTAAATACCAGCTAAAAAAGTCAAGTTTTAGTACTATGAAAAAAATTTGCAGTAAGTTTTGCAGTTTGATTGAAAATTAAAAACGAATTGTTTTTGTTTGTTAAAAAAATGGTTTTTATGTGGCGGCAAACTTGTGAAAAAGAAGATGAATTCTCTTTGTTTTTGCTTGGAGTGTTGGCGAAGGGGTGAGGTGTGAATATTTTTGTTTGTTTCTAAAGAAATCATTTTAGTCGTTGCGGACTTATATGATGGATCAGTAGCAACAAGAAGGTCAGGTCCTTCTTTATGACACAATTTGTAATTTCACTCCATTTTGAGTTGGGTTTAGGGTCCTAGCCCGGGCACTTTTTGGCTACGGGGTCCAAAGAAAGTGCATGAGCAGGGAAATTTATGAAGCCAAAAAGTGCCCGAAAAAGAAACAAGGTGTTATGTCATTATCTCAAAAGTGACACCAAAAAGTTTCATACAACTTGCCACTTTTTGGAACTTAAGGTTAACCCCAAAAATGACAAGGGTCTACTTTTTTGGAAAATAGCTGAAATTTGCCTGAAAACCCTTACTAAAATCCCGAAAATACCAAAAACCGCTAAAAAGGTTCTTACTTCATTGTGTAAACACAAAAAAAAATAGAATTTACCGAGAATTTTCAACAAGAAATTGACTAAAAGTTTAGTAATTGCGGACTTGTATGATGGATCAGTAGCAACAAGAAGGTCAGGTCCTTCTTTATGACACCATTTGTAATTTCACTCCACTTTGAGTTGGGTTTAGGGTCCTAGCCCTGTCACTTTTTGGCTACGGGGTCTGAAGAAAGTGCATCAATGGATGACATCTCCCCCTCCCCCACGGTTAGTCCTGCACTGAGCAGGCCGGGGGCTAATAAAAAAAAAAAAAAAAAAAAAAAAGAGTGCATGAGCAGGGAAATTTATGAAGCCAAAAAGTGACCGAAAAAGAAACCAGGTATTATGTCATTATCTCAAAAAGTGACACCAAAAAGTTTCATACCCCTTGTCACTTTTTGGAACTTAAGGTTAACACCAAAAGTGACAAGGGTCTACTTTTTTGGAAAATAGCTGAAATTTGTCTGAAAACACTTACTAAAATCCCGAAAAAACCAAAAACCACTAAAAAGGTTCTTACTTCAGTGAGTAAACACAAAAAAAAATAGAATTTACCGAGAGTTTTCAACAAGGAAATTGACTAAAAGTTAGAAAATAAAAGGAAAACAACTCAAAAACTGCCCAACCCCAAAAAAAGACCCCTGGCCCCAAAAATAACAAAATAACCAAAAAATCGATAATTAAATGAATTAAAACATAATGTTACGAGTTTAACCTTTCTCAAGATGGGAATTGACTAAAAGTTATAGTGAAAAACAAGAAATTGAGTATTTGACGCCCAACCCTAAAATTGGGGTGTAGAAAAAAGCCTGTTTTCTCAACTTTTTTTTTCGGAAATAAGCTGAAACTCGTCTGAAAACACATAGTAAGTTCAAAAAACACCAAAATTTGTCAAAATTACTTACATCCTTGAATAAACATAAAAACTACGGTTAATATCAATATCAACGATCAAAGTGACTAAAAATAAAAAAAGAGGGAAAATGAGCCCAACCCAAAAAAGCACCCCTAGCCACAAAGTCATCCAAAAAACAAAAAATTCGATAAGAAACCGAACTAAAACATAATGTTACGGTTAAACCTTCTTTCAAGAGGTGAACCGACTAAAAGTTTCAGTGAAAAACAAAAAAATGATATTTGAACCCCCAAACCTGAAATTGAAAAGAAAAAGACTGCTACCAAATTGTCACCACCACCAACAAAACAAAACAACCCCAAAATCAACCATAGCATCTCAAAACAACTGTGAGAGATACACCTAAGAGAATTTCACTTACTAGCAATGAAAGTTTTTTCAGCAGGGGTTTAATTTGTAAAGCGAAAAATTTAATTTTAAAAATTGATTTTTCAAACGTTTGAGAAATGTTTTCAAACTTCACATCACTTGATTGAGCCACGAACGGTTTTCAGCTGAAAAGTTGTCTAAAAGATTTCCAACTTTTATCAGGCACAAATTGTGTTTAGATTAAGTGGTTTAATAACCAGATCGATGCTGTCAGTGAAGTTTCATCTCCTTGATCAACATATTCGAAACTATCAGTGTTCTTTAGAAAAATAAAACTGGTAAGACCCAAATTTTTTAATCGAAGAATTTACATTCAGGGTTTGTTTTAGGCACTATAGAGAGTACATACACAATTTCATCAATTTGTTTCCAATGGTTGATGAGAAAAACAACCTTGATGCAAAAAAGCCATTAAACCAAAAACAATCCTCCGGCTCATTTTTGTATTTCTCACTTATAACAATCACATAATAGCAAAAATGCGTCGTTGAAAACCTCTTTGAAATTAGAAATCAGTGATCATCAGAACAACTTAGAGAAATGCATGTTTTCAGCATACCAAGTCCAAATTTCTAGCCAAAATTGATTTGACGAAATAATTTTTTTCTAAATGTAATCTCTCTTGACTTAGCCACTAACAGTTCTCCGGCCAAAAGACTTTGTGAGAGTTTTACAAAAAGGTATCAGACACATTAAATGTTCATTTATTGTGGTTTCATCGCTAGAAAAATGCTGTCAGAGAAGTTTCTTCTCATTGAACGATGTGTTCGAGAGTGTTAGTATTCACTCCAAAATTGAAGATCGTGAAATGAGCCAAAAAAAAGTTTGCACATTTTTAACCATTGAAGTTGTTTTATACAGTCTACGAGGAGTTCACACGCACAATTTTAGCTTCATAAGCCTAATGGATGATGAAAAATTCAAAATGGAGTAAAAAAATTCCTAACCTCGAAACAAAAAAAGTCAGCGCAACTACGATTTACCCATTTTTTAAAAGTTGCATTTCGATGAATCAGGAGTCGTTCGAAAGTACTTTATATTGATTAAACGTGGAAAATAACATGTAGTTTAAA